TTTGGTTGAGCATTACAAGCAGTGTACTTTTAGGTATTAACTTTTAATAGGCAAAGTTCTTTTCATTGAAGTTGAAATGAGGTTGAGTAATTTGGGGACTCATTCCCTTTGAATATTTCATTTTAAAATAGGCACACTCATAAGCATACTCACTTCACTTTTTTATTTTTTTGGTGGAGGGGGTACTTGAGGAATGGGATGACATTTTAATAGAATATCATAATTTTGATCTGAAATTTCAGTCTTTGGTACCATTAATTTATTGCTGGTCATTTTCTGTTGACAGAAATCAAATAATGTATATATAACCCAACCAATTGCAGCCAAATAGTGTGTGTTAGAGAAAGATTCCTTAGGGTAATACTTTGATTTCTTTCCCCATGTGGGTGTGGCTGAAAGATAATCTTTGTTCCAGGAACACTTTGTTTATCTTTTGCTAAACAAATGTGCAATTTATCCACTCTTTATTCATTCTTAGATTTATCTGCTAGACCTATTATGAACTGGAAAGGGGGAAATGTCCTACACAGCCTTATTGTCAGCTCTTATTGTCAGCCTTATTGTCAGTTTCATGCGTAACTTTGTATAGGAGTGTTTGTTTATGTGTGTATGAAATGCATAGGAGGTAGGAAGTAACTGAGGAATTTGAAAAAGAATTTTTGAAAGGATTGTTTGGCTTTATTTGTTTCTTAGCGTACTAGGGCAAAAATAAAATATGACAGCTGTTGAACAATTTACTTTTTTGTAGCTGTGTCAGGAAGAAGTTAATTTAATGCGAAGGCTTAGGAGGAAGTTATAGGGTCATAGAATTTTGGACTTGGAAAGCACTTCCAAACCCATAGTTTTATATTCCATGGTAAAGTGACCACACTTTGTCTTAAAAAAAAAAAAAATCATGTTTCTTCAGTTCAAGAAACTTCTGCCTAAACCACAAAGAAGAGACTCAGGGTATCTTCACTCAATGAAACTTTGACCTAGATGAATTGTTGGTTCTTCCAGATCTCACCTTTGCACTGGATCTTATCTTGACTCTCACCTAGAATGCTTGTTCACCTCTGCACAGGAGTCCTCAGGGTCTCATGGGCTTCCTCTGCTTTTTGTAAATAGTAAAGGCAGCTCCTCTGGGAACATCTAATTGTAAGGTTGGAAATTTGCCTCTGCCCAATGCTGAAATTCTGCTCCAAATAGAGGGTTCTGTTCATATACAACAAAATTATAATGATTTTTTTTTTTTTTTAATCAGTAAGCACTGCCACATTAGACCGGGTCCCAGCTGTGCGCCTAACCTCTCAGCCAGGGATAGGGATTCTTGGTTTGCACAACCTAAGAGTTGCCTTGATTTGCTATCACATAGATAGAAAGTAGAAAGTTGATAAACATGAAGGTGTGTCAATATTGTTAAATTGTTGCAATGGGAATTGAGGTATTCCAAAATAAGAAAACTGACTTAACCAGAGTAGAATTCTAACATAGAACAGGCTGAATTCCACAGTTGTGGATGAAACAGACATCTCTTATTTCATTTGATCAAAGACCACTATCCTCACTCCTAATGTTGTAAATTAGTTAAATCCCTTTAACAACAATATGTCAAAAGAAAGATAATTTACTTCAGCCACACCCTTATTGGAAAAGAAATCAAGATATTACCCTAAGGATAATGTTATTATTATTAGTGATATTTTGTCATAATGAAAAGCTCATCAAGCTTGGAGTTAAAAAGTTGAGTTATAATCTCACCTCTATCACTTTCTAGTTCCTAGAGATCCTAGAATAGTCACTTGAGAGTCTGATTCTGGACTTTCCCATCTCTAAGGGTCTGTTAACAAGGTGTCTTGGCACTAATAGGGTTGTTGTGAGAAACAACAAGAAAAGATATGTTGTGTGAAAGGCCTTTGTACATTTTAATGTTTTATTATTAGCACCAGCCATCACAGTAATATTTTTGCTCTGCTTTCTAAGCAGGAAAGCAGTTCCTTATATTTTTGTTTGAGTGCTTTTTTACATTCACTGTCTTCTCTGATACCTGTAACAATGTTAGTGAAGTGTAAAAATGTTAGTAAAGTGGCAAGGAGGAGAGAATTTGGTCCCGTATTATTTCAGGTACAGTGGAGTTTTGCATAGAAACATATACTGGAAAATAGAAAAATGTGTGTGTGTGTGTGTGTGTGTGTATATATATATATATATATATGGAAAGAAAGATCAAAACCCAACTGAGTATATCATTGTAAGGCTATGCAAAAAAGCTAAACTCAAGTGGTATTTTCACATTTTAATGTACATGAAGTATCTGGGAACTTGTCAAAGATATAATAAATTCCTGGGACACTGCCTTAGAGATTCTGAATCAGAGGTTCTTAAGGTTCTCTGCCTTCCTGCATTCTCCTGTGTGATTCTGATAAGGGCAGTCCCAGAACATTCTTAAAGATACTGTCTCCAGAATGAATGGACATCGTTCATAGCATGTGTTTCCATGATTTGGGATCAGAGGAAATTTGCTTTTTTTCTTCCAATTCAAAGAAAAGGACTCAAGGTTTGGTTAGTGTTTTATAGACTCTGTGAAGAAATAGAGACAAATGTTTCAAGGATGAGGTGGAGTCAAAAAAAAAAAAAAAAAGGCATTTCTAAGCACAGAACATAGCCAGGGACTGATTTCATCCAGAATAGGTAATTAAGAAGAACCTAGAGATGGTATCCTCATGGAGAATGAAGGAATAGGAAGGAAGTAGAGTGGTCCCAAGAGTCCAGGGAACATCATCTGCTATAAAACCGACTCTGAAACATCCTTTTTTTTTTTTTTTTTTAAACCATTGTTCAACCTTAGAAGTATGACTTTCTCCATTTCAAGAATGTGTGAAAACACTAGTACAGCTACCCCCCCACCACACACACACCACCACTTCCCTTGCAGAAGTGAAATCAACAGGCATTTTTATGGTATTTACTATGTACCAGAGATGGTGTTAGGGGCTGAGCATGCGGAAATAAATCCTGGGGGTTCGTGGTTATACCCCCTGACTGTCACCTTGGATGATCTTGGACAAATCTTGGTCATCTTAGACAATAGAGTGCAATAATGCAGTTGACACATTAGAAGCTGCTTCTTCAAACAGTACTCAGACACTCTGGAATTCTGATGATGTTTTCATAAATATTCTCACTAAAACTTTTTTTCACTTTAACTCTGTAGAAAGGACAAATTTGAACTAGTGTCTTGGTCTACTGTAGAAATCTCAAGTTGGCATGCCTTGGGACATGTATCAGCATCTTTAAACTATTTTTCATTGGGGACTTGCCTTCAATGTAAACATATTTCCATTTAATTAAATGTGCCAGCTGATGAAGTGGCTACCCACAAACCAGGCAGGAGTCTAAGCAACATAAACTGTTAAAAGATGTCATCTTGAAATCAGCTAAACATCTCCATTCTGGAAGAAGCCTCCAGCCTGAGGAACTAAGTGAACATAATTAGAAATACATCTGGGTATTGGCCTCCTATCTGAAAAGGTCACATGCACACCTTCCATTGGTACTGGTTATGTTCCATCATTATGTTCTGTCCTTCCTCATTCGTCTCCCACTGGTTGCCAGATGGCCACGATAATGTTGGTATCCTTAACAACTGTTTTGTGCAATTCCCTGCAGCATGGTAAAGGCTCAAAATATTGAGTGTTTTCCCTTTGGATAAGCAAGTGACATATCTGGGAATTGCTTGCAAACGCCCCGATGGTGTGGTTATAGAGAGTGATGGCAAACTGGGTCATGGAGCCCAAATTCAGCTTGACATTGTACAGGTGGCAGGATACCAAAGGGGAGGGGGTGGTTGCCATTTCTCCAGCTTAAGATAAAGAAAGATTAATCCATGCAGAATCTAGTTTTTGTAAATATGGTGACATGTAAATAAGCATTAAGATCGTTATAAGAGGGAACTTCATTAAAGTTGCTGAAATGTTCTCCTGAGTTAAGTTGGTTCTGATGGAACTCTCACAAGGATGCTTGGGGAGTCCTCTCAGTGTGGTTCTCTGAATTGTGCCAAGTTACCAGATGGATTTGAGGAACATTAGAAGATAGGGGGTATGGGTCGGGGGAGGGTGGAGAAGGTGGATGTATCAATCACACTGAGATAGATCACACTACAAAAAACAACCTCTAAATCAGACTCACTTGAAACAACAAGTGTTTATGTTGTACATCCATTTAGGACCAACCAGGTGCTTTATTCCATGTCATCCTCCCTCAAGACCAAAACTGGCTGAGTAGCCACTATTTGAACCATTACAGATGTCCAGAACAAAGGGAGGGAGACAGTATGTTTAGTTGCACTCTGGCTTTTAAAGGTGCCACCCACTTCTGCCATATTTCACTGGCCATAACCAGTCACATGGCCACTTGTCTTCAATGGTGTTCTTTCCACAGGACCATAATGGGAGCAAGATATATTCATTGAACAGCACTAATAACCAGCAGAGCAGGTGATGATGTTCTTGAGACCCATGGATATCTCTCTTGGGCCAGATGGCCTTTAGACAGGCTTCAAGCACTGAAGATTATATAATCCAAAATAAAAGCATCACAGAACTGTGGAAATAAATACAAAGAGGCTCAACAAAATTCTGAATTTTCCTATTGATAAAATAATGATAGTAATTATAAATAAAATATAATAATATATTTATGCACATCAGATTCTCTCAAGACAGTTTTCTAGTTCTGCTTGCCAGTGACCTAAACATTGTTCAATCTGTCTATGGGATTATGGATCCAACCCTTTCTTTCTTTATTGGTACCTGAGGCTTTTTCATGGAGCTGGATGAGTGTTGGGGCTGGGAGGATGCTAGTATTAGCCAGACTGTGCTAAAGATGAATCAATACAAGAATCTTGCTGAAGACTATATTTTTAGTACAGAACCAGAGGTGAGCATTGAAATGATGCCATGGCTGCCACAGTTCTTTGTTGGAGGGAAGAAAGTAATGGAAGTGTTTTCTCGTTTGTCTAGGGGAGGACGAGGAAGAAACGAATGTGATAGTTCTCAGCTACCCTCAGTACTGCCGCTACCGCTCCATGCTGAAGCGCATCCAGGATAAGCCGTCTTCCATTCTCACGGACCAGTTTGCATTAGCCCTGGGGGGCATCGCGGTGGTCAGCAAGAACCCTCAGATCCTGTACTGTCGGGACACCTTCGACCACCCGACTCTCATAGAAAACGAGAGCATATGCGATGAGTTTGGTGAGTCTTTTCATGATTTTTTTTTTTTCCCTACTTGAAACTTGTGCGTGTGTGGCTGGTTGTTTTCAGTGCTTGTTAGGAGCAGTGGTGGGGAACAGGGCTGACTTTCACAAGCCTGGTGTGCCACCCCCACCCCCTTCTTCCCCCAGTGATTGCCGCAATAAGACGTCACCGCCTCCTTGGCAGCCTCTGATTCCCAGGGCACAGGATTATTATTTAGAATTTGTTGTTCAAGACAGAGTCTGGAATTGCTTGGTCGACCTTGAAATTGGACTTTATAGGATAGGAAGCTTTTATGCTAGTCATTTCTTAAAAGACTTTGGCTCTTCAGATACTGATTGTTTTAAATTTAACTGATCACTCCCTTTTCCATGGTATGCATGTGTGCTAAGTCGTTTCAGTCGTGTCCAACTGTTTGTGACCCTATGGACCATAATCCTCCAGGTTCCTCTGTCCATGGGATTCTCCAGGCAAGAATACTGGAATGATATTTAAGTCTTAGTTAAGAGGCTGAAAACATCAAGAAAACAATTGCCTTGGTTTTAATTCATTTCACTATTCCATAATACTGTATTTAGTTCCCTTCTTTAAGATCATATGCTGTTTCAATTTCTTGGATGTGTTCAAAATATCTGGAGAGTAAGAAATTACCAAATTTTAAGTTTTGCTTGACTCTTCATCTATTCTCTTACATGTATAAGTAGTATTGGAGAAAGAAATGGCAACCCACTCCAGTACTCTTGCCTGGAGATTCCCATGGACAGAGGAGCCTGGTGGGCTACAGTCCATGGGGTCGCAAAGAGTCAGACACGACAAAGAATGACTAAACAGTAACAATAATATCTTTATACACTGTACCCATCAAAGATGGATATGTGTACATGTATCTGTATCTGCATCTCTGTTTAGCTGACTGGTCATGAGTTCTCTGTAGACAGAAGGAAAGGAGGAGAAGATAGGACATCCTCAGTTGTGGAGACCTTGCATGATGCCGTGAAAGATTTGAGACAAGATAAAATCACATCTCTCAAATCTTTGCTTTCTCATATCTTCCTTGAAGATACTGGATTATATCAGAGGTTCTTGATAGGCTGGGCAGGGATATCAGAATATTCTGGGGGTGCGTCATCATAGTACACACGGCACCTGGAAGTTCCTAGACTTACGGAGGCAAGAACAGCGCCCTCACCCTGTCCCTTCCCTGGGAATCACCACCTTAGAGCAAGCAGGGTGATAATGGAGCCACGCTGACTCCTTCATTGGCACCTGGGTGCAGAAGTGGTAGAGACCTGTGGCCTAGAGAGCACAAGGTCCCTTTGAGCAGGAGCACTCCTTGATTCCGTTGGGTAATATTTTTCCATGGATGCCTCATTTTGCAAATTATGCAGATTCAGATTATTCTTCTTAGTCATCACAGGCCTCCACGTGGCTTGGGGAGTCCACAGTGACCGCTCTAGTCTGATTATACATGACACCAGCAACCCTGGAGCAGGGGCAGGTGGGATGTTGTAAGTAGGTGTGGTGGGCAGAGGAGGGTGAGGGTGACCAGATGGCTTATCTGGATCCAAGAAGGAGGGGAAGAAAGAGAAGAAGGGGACCTACGTTTATTAGACATGACTCTTCTGGGGTTTAGTTCAGTTCAGTCGCTCAGTTGTGTCTGACTCTTTCTGACCCCATGAATCGCAGCACGCCAGGCCTCCCTGTCCATCACCAACTCCCAGAGTTTACTCAAACCCATGTTCACCGAGTCGGTGATGCCATCCCGCCATCTCATCCTCTGTCGTCCCCTTCTCCTCCTGCCCCCAATCTGTCCCAGCATCAGGGTCTTTTCCAATGAGTCAGCTCTTTGCATGAGGTGGCCAAAGTATTGGAGTTTCAGCTTCAGCGTCAGTCCTTTCAATGAACACCCAGGACTGATCTCCTTTAGGATGGACTGGTTGGATTTCCTTGCAGTCCAAGGGACTCTCAAGAGTCTTCTCCAACACCACAGTTCAAAAGCATCAATTCTTTGGTGCTCAGCTTTCTTCACAGTCCAACTCTCACATCCATGTATGACCACTGGAAAAACTGTAGCCTTGACTCGATGGACCTTTGTTGGCAAAGTAATGTCTCTGCTTTTTAATATGCTATCTAGGTTGGTCATAACTTTCCTTCCAAGGAGTAAGCATCTTTTGATTTCATGGCTGCAATCACCATCTGCAGTCATTTTGGAGCCCCAAAAAATAAAGTCTGACTCTGTTTCCACTGTTTCCCCTTCTGTTTCCCATGAAGTGATGGGACCAGATGCCATGATCTTAGTTTTCTGAATATTGAGCTTTATGCCAACTTTTTCACTCTCCTCTTTCACTTTCATCAAGAGGCTTTTTAGTTCCTCTTCACTTTCTGCCATAAGGGTGGTATCATCTGCATATCTGAGATTATTGATATGTCTCCAGGCAGTCTTGATTCCAGCCTGTGCTTCCTCCAGCCCCGAGTTTCCATGATGTACTCTGCATATAAATTAAACAAGCAAGGTGCAGACTGTCTCTCTCAGATGCCTTCTACAGCTCTGGCTTATCAGTCTGTAAGAGAGTAATAATGTTTATGCAACTTATTTTTTCCTTTTTCCAGGAAGATTTCCTTGTCATTCATAATATTGAAGTAACCTTTTTTATTCAAGTAGTTGAATGTATACGATACATTTTTTTAAAAAAATACTCTTTCCAGATCAACATTTATAAATCTTCCCTTTTCAATACTTTTTTGAGTTTTTCCTTTTCTAGTCCCTACTTGCAAACCCTCTGTCTTGCTTGCTACTCAAGACGTCTCTAAATTCTTGATGCAAAATAGAACTAAAAAAATGCTTTCCCTAATTTAAGTGTATTCAGAATTAGAGTTTCACAATGTAATATAATGAAAAAATGTTTTAACCTTTTTGGCTAAATTAAGAGTTATTAGTCATTGAGTTTCAAAGCTGTTGCATCTAGAATTGGTAATAGAAGTTCCAATTTAACAGTGATCACAATGGTTGTTAAGAGTTACTAAATTAGTTTTAAATGTTCTCACAAACACAAGCATCTGACTTTTAAATATTTTCCTGAACTTTCTTCTGGTAATGCTGCTTTTTCTTCCCCAGTCTTTTAAAGTGGAAGCTTTCTTTTGGAATAAAGGTACCTTTGTTAAAGAGCTTCTAGATGACTAGTCTAAAAATTAGTATATTAGTATTTTTGTAGTTAAGTTTGTACTTCAAATATTTGATACTTCTTATAGGATTTCATTTTAGTTTTAGTAAGAGAGCAACAGCAACAACAAAAACCCAAAAAACTTATTCTGACCTGACTCAAAAACCTTCACCAACATCCCTCCTTTACTTTCCACTTCTGGTCATACATGTTAATTTCCAGAGAAATTCCTTTCAAACCTCCAACCGGTGCTATTTGAAATCAGCATGGGTTAAAGGGTTTGTTAAAATGTGGGGTTGGGTTTCTCCAACCAACTAACAGTTGGTGGAAGAACATAAATTTAATTAGTGACTGGCATTAAACAAATGTTCCTAATATTAAACACTGCCAGATGACTGAAACACTTCTGTCAGATTACCGTGAGTGCCAGGGGGCCCACAGATGAATTTTCTACACAGTATATATTCTGTACCACACGTTTGGTGACTTCAGTAATTGGTCAAATGTAATTTAGGTAACAGTATGCCTAGGCTGTAAAAATCAAATTTTATTAGCCATATCACCAGGTGGATGAATGGTACAGCTGATGGCAAAGAGTTTATAGCATTTAGCAGCTACACCTTTGACACATGAAATTCATAAATTGCCATAAAATACCTCCAAGGCCCTTCTCAAAAGGACAGTGTCTGCTTTCCTATGATTAAATAATGTTTATTTTATTAACTAATATAATTTTTGCTCTCTTCTATTAAATGGGATTACAGAGTGGGAGTGAGAGAGGGGTTTCAAAAGATAAATAAAAGGCAGTCCTCGCTCATTTTGAGGATTTAAAACCTAATTGGGGAAGACAGGATTAACACAACTGAAAGGTTAACTAATGTTACAGGAAAGTCAGGGACGAAGTATTGGATGAGTGTTGCAGAAAGCAAGTGCAGGAGGCATTTCGCAGTGAGCTGGGGGCGTGGAGGAGGTGGCCTGGCTGGAGAAGATGGTCGTGGTGGTGAAGGGTCAGGAAAAACCTCTGGAAAAGGCAGGGCTGGATCTGGTTTCTAAACATAGAGAATAGTGGGGGAGGGATAACTTGGGAGATTGGGATGGGCATATACACTGATAACTGAAGAACCTGCCGTGTAGCCCAGGACACTCTCCTCAGTACTGTGTAATGACGTATGTAGGAAACGCCTCCAAAACAAGAGTGGATATATGTATACGTATGACTAATTAACTGTGCTGTGCACCCGAAACTAACACAACAGTGTAAATCAACTATACTCCAATAAAACCTTTTAAAAACTAAAGTACAAACAGGGAGAGAGGGTATTAGAAAAGTTTTGGCAATGCCTAGATCATTTAAAATTCACATTCCGACACCATTAGGAATGACCGTCCTCACCCTAGGTCGGCTGTTGGTCTCTCTTAGATTTGTTTGCCCGCAGTCGTCACTCTCCCGAGTCTGTGCCCTCCAGCTGGTTTTTATAAGTGGCCCAGGGCCCTCTCTGCCAGTAGGACGTGGATGTGAGTCAGAGGACCTGGGCTGGGACAAACCCAGGCCATGACTTTGCAAGGGAACTGGGCTTTCTTTCTTGAACAGGGCTGCCTCTCATTTCTTCTGTGTGCCTTCCAGCTTATTCACATTCCCCAGGTTCACCTCTGAAAATGGACTTTGCTCACGTGACAGCCTTGCCCAACTGGCTGGACACCTCTCCTCCCCTTCCACAGTCTCTATTGTCTTAATGTCATCCACTGAATAACAGACTTAATTGAACAATAAAAGTAAGGCTTTTAAATCTACAATGAGTCCCTGTAAATAAATTCTCTGTGGAATTTTATGAACCTGTT